GGTCTCGCCAAGTTGCCCAGGTGGGTCTCGAACCCGCGGGCTCAGGCAATCCTCTCACCTCAGCCTCCCAAAGTGCTGGGATTACAGCCTGAGCCACTGAGCCCGGCTCCTTATTACCTCTTGAAAGGGCCTGTCTCCAACTGAGTCCCACTCTGAGATGCGGGGAGAGTGGGGGGAAAGTCAGGGCTCCAACACGGGGATTTGGGGGAAGACGCAACGCAGCTCACACCTCCTGGCGCCACCCCAGGCGTGGGTGAGGACTGCTGAGATGGGTGGACGGCACCTGGGGGGTGTCCAAAAGGGGCCCGCTTCGAAATCAGGAGAGGAGGCAGCAGCGGTGGGGAGCCGTGATCCGGATGGGGAACCGCCCAGGACACCACAGAGGATGTGGGGGCTATGGGGAGAGAGAGGCCCCAGGTCTTGGCTCCCAAGAGACTGGGGGGCCCGGTGGGATGGGCTCTGTTGGGACGGGGTGAGTAGAGGCATGGGCAGGCCAGGCGGGTCAGCCAGCCCAGGGGTGAGGACTGGCCCAGGAGGGGGCGTGGACCAGGCCCTGCCTGCGGGTGGGTGAACCATTCAGAAGGAGTGTGTCCCAGGGGGCGGGGTGGCACGGGGAGGAGAGGAGATGGAGAATCCAAAGACCATCTTCCCAGGGACACAGGAGGCGTGGCTGGGGAGGGCGGAGGGGCCGGGAGTGGTCCAGACAGCCGTGGACATTGGAGGAGGCCTGGGTGGGGCCAAGGGCGTGAGGCAGAGGGCGGTCAGCAGGGACCCCAAAAGGGTCATTTCCAAGACGCATGTGGGGTGCGGCAAGGGGTCCTGGTGCCGAGAAGAGTGCGGGGGAGGCTGGGGGTATTGGCTCGGGGGGACGTGAGGGCCAAGCTGTGGGTCAGTCTGGAGAACAGCCTTTGGGGTGGACGAGACTGGCCCTCAGAGTGACGGCCGGGAGCTTGGGCTGGTGGCGGGTCCCATGATCTCGTTGGACCATGACCTCCCTGCACTGAACCAGAGCCTGCGGAACTGCTGGACCTCGCGTTGGCTGTTCCCGTCCTCGGAGACACGGGTCACTCCAGACACGGGAAGCTCTGCGGCCAGCAGCCAGCAAAGTGCGGCTGTGCTTGTCGCCTGCGTGGCCTGGCGCGCCAGCCTGATTACAGCTTTCTAGTTGCTCGTTCAAGCTGGTGTGTTTATTCTAACAGTTCCAACTTAAGGAGGAAAACAGCCTGGTGCAACGGCTCACACCTGTCATTCCAGTGCCTTGGGAGGCCAAGGCGGGAGGATCGCGTGAGGTCAGGATTTTGAGACCAGCCTGGGCAACATAGCAAGACACTGTCTCTGCAAAAAACTAAAAATAAAAACCGCGTGAGCTGGCGTTTCTGCGGAAGCGGAACCCCCGACAGGTGCCTCTGGAAGGTTCCTAAGGTTGGAACGCCTACCTTCAGCCTCTCCCTCTCTCTTATTCTAGGAAACCAGAACCTCCTCGGAGAGCATCATTTCTGTACCAGCTTCCAGCACCTCGGGGTCTCCAAGCCGTGTGATCTATGTAAGCCAGGACCTTTTTATCGGGAGTGGGCCTGGTGGGAGGGCAGAGAGGGAAGAAGGGCCCTAGAGCCAGCCCTTGGGGACTAGAACGACCCTCGAGCCCCGTCACCCGCAGGGCATCTGTGCTGGGTCTGGCGCACTCGTCCCTGCCACAGGGCAGAGGTCGCCGAAGCCTATACAAGGTCGGCCCAAAGCCTGAAACGCGGACATATTTATTTGAGCCGGCAGTTCCCCCGGGCACTCATCCCCAAGTATCTGGTGACGAGTCCATAAGGCAGCGCACACACCGCCGTTGTGTATGATGTGCAAACACAACAGCACGTCGATGGCCGACAGCCAGGGTTTGCTAGGCACCCAACAGAACTCCACGGTTTCGGGAATGACAGCACAGATCTGTGCATAGCCACGTGCAAAGGTTTCCCCAGGATGTTCCTTAAAAGAAGCCAGTCAAGGGTGGTGTACGTTCTGTGACCCCCTTTCCCTTAAGGGCCGTGTGTGGTGTGTGCACACTCGTGTGCATACAAGTACTGAATGACTGGAAACAACTTAATTAGCTGTCACAGTCATTTCCTCTGGGAGGCAGGTGTGGGGAGAAAGGGTATGATTATTTGCTAACCTTGCTTGTGTAAATACCAAAATTCCTTGCCTAGGACAGAGCCCCGAGGCAGGAGGTGCAGGGTGGCTTTTGGTGGGGATGGAACTCAGGACTGGTCATGCAGGCCCCTCCAGCCCCAGAACCCTCCCAGGATCAGCTGGTGACATGGACAGTCTATCTCCCGTCTCCCTATCCAAGCCAGCATCTCGGTTTCTCACCACAGTGGCATGGATTTTGCTCCTCTGTGCACTTTTTTCCCCACGGAGTTGGAGTCTCACTCCGTCGCCCAGACTGGAGTGCAGTGGCACGCTCCCGGCCACCGCAGCCTCGACCTGCTGGTCTCCGGTGATCCTTCAGCCTCAGCCTTCCAAGGAGCCGGAACTACAGGCGTGCGCTACCACACCCAGCTAATTTTTTATTTATTGTAGAGACAGGGTCTCGCCAAGTTGCCGGGTGGGTCTCAAACCCACGGGCTCAGGCAATCCACTCGCCTCGGCCTCCCAAAGTGCTGGGATGACAGACTGAGCCACCAAGTCCGGCCCTTCTGTGCACTTCTTTTCTACCCTGGATCTCTTCTAATAGTTGGACACAGGGACATCCCTGACCTAAGTCCTCATGGGGGTAGTAACCAGCACCAGCATCTCTTGCCTGAAGGGGGATGGCACCTGGTCCTTCGGCTCACACACTCTGGGTCTCAGGGCACAGGAAGGCATTGAGCTGGCTGTGTGATGTGAGCCAGGTGCTACCCTCCCTGAGCCTCTGGGGCCCGCCTGTGAGCTGTAGGGACCCCAGCACCCACCGGCCAGAGCTCCCAGAGGTGCTGCCTGGGAGGCTCTGAGCACAGCCCTGGCCAGGAGAAGGACTTCTTATAGGAGCAGCCACATAGGACCAGGACCCACCCTCATGACCTCGGCCTCAGCCTACCAAAGTGCTGAGCCACTACGCCCCGCCCACCTGCTTTTCACGTCATCTGGACTCTGTCGTCGACCTACCATGTGCCCGCCCCAGGCTCAGTGCTGAGCCCTCGGGTGCTTTGCGGGAAACCAGCTGCCCAGCACCCGCTAGGGTAGTGGCTGTGCAGCTGCCCCCACCCCCATCAGGAGATAGATTCCCAGAACATCCACGTGCGTGGGAACAGACTGGAATCCGTCAAGTGGCCATGTCTCCCCACGAATGTGAGCTCCTGGCTGTGCATCGTGCCTTGTTTTTGTCTCTGTATCAGGGATAGAACATGCACACAGTAGGAATGCAAGAAACTGTAGGGCTTTTGATGTGTTCTCTTTTACTGCTTTTTGCTTTTTTCTTTTTTTTTTTTTTTGAGTTGGAGTCTCACTCTGTAGCCCAGACTGGAGTGCAGCGGCCACTCTCGG